GAAGGAAAGCAAGAGACAGGAAAAGGAATATTGTGGGACTGTCCTGCTTCAAGGTTGTGTATGGTACACATATTTTGGAACCAGATAATCTGGACCTGATTTCATATTTCTTGAACTGACTACAAAAAATGAAATTAACATTTGGAACTGGGAGATGAGAGGCTAGAAAACAATGACAAAGAAAGGCTGCTTGTCTTCAAAGTGATCTGTGATGGAGTTTGGTAGTAGCTTTCAAGCAAGGCTGGGCAAGACACACATTAATGTCCAGAATATAAATTACGAAGCTGAAAGTAATGAGGAGGGGCTTGAGGATGATTGTCAACTTGACTGCCTTTGGGGTCGCCCAGCGCATTCAAAACCCTATGGACTGAGTGGTCACTCCCTTCTTTCATGAAGTTCCTGAAGCCAGCAGACCATGAACACAAAGACCTGAGGTGACAGGATCTCAGTATGCAATTTAGGCTGGCCTTGAACTCACTTTGTAACCAGGATGGGCTTGAACTCACAATGATCCTCCTGCCTCAGCCTCCTGAGTGCTGGGATTACAGGTACAGACTCGCACAGCCATTCCTTGGTTGTTTGCTCTCCAGTTCCTGTCTTGCTCTACATCTGTGAACTTTGTAACAGAGATGAGAACACACCTTCGGCTGTGAAGTGTAAAATCTACTGGGATCAGGAGCAGAGCCCACGGCCTCTGTGTTCGTCATGTACTTTACAGACCCCCACCTAACTTCTATCTCATTTTGTCTCATTTGTTTGATACAACAGTGAATTCCTTTAGAGCAGGAATGATGTCTTACTCAAATTTCTTAAGACTCCCAAAGCTACAAGGCATATGTAGAATGGTGAAAGCATATAAATATTTACTGGACAGCAGAGGAATGAAGTGGCTGCTTTTTCATACCTCCTGATTTATTCAATAGCTTGTTATTTGATACTTTGTACTGCTTCGATTTTTAAAACTCCCATTGAAGAGATCTTAGGTGTCCCTGTGAATTAGTAACTTTAGAGGGATTTCTTGTGAATTTTCATGTGTCTTTTCTCAATATCTAACCTTTAGTACTTTAAGTGTTGCTTGATTTCCTTATTTAAAAATACCAATGATCTCATTAGAATTTCTACCTCTTTCTAAGAGCATTTAGTTCAGTGTTCCATAAAAAGAGTACAAAATATAGAATGCTACACAAGTTTAATTACTCTTGATGTTTTATCCAAGACTGATACTTGCTTGTAAAAACAGAGAGAGACAGAAGAGACAATTCTTAAAGCAACATATTAAAATATGAAGACTAACCCAAAATATATATACTAACTGATCCATCAACTTGGCAGTGCAGTGTGTTGATAGCATGGAGAGACTTAGCAAAATTCAGTGTTCTTGTGTGTTCTGTGAATGGTTGATTTTCAACAAATAAGTCAAAATATCTTGATTAATGCAGGGAAAAATAATGTTGCTTCAGAAAGATCACTAGTAAATTGCAACTTCATTATTTCTCCCAGAAAAATAATAATGCATATACCAGGATGTTTTATTGATGTTATAATCTATCTTGATATTATATCTAAAAGAATCTAAAACATATTAACAATTGGAAATAACAACATTATAGTGTTATAAAAAATAAGTATTGTGTAACAGAAATAAACTATTTGACAATTAATTATTAAATACCATACATTGAAATTTCAAAAGTTCCTCATTTTGAAATAATAAATACTAGCTAACTATTAAAAAAAATGCACTGAAGCTTTTTTCATGAACCAGCATATATTTCATGCCAGCGCATGTGCCATACTCTGGAAAGGAATACATGTTCCGAAAGTGTTCCATAGTGTCTTCTGTCTGTCCACTGAATCAATTTTGGGTGCTCTTTTTCAGTCTCCTAAATATGTACTGAATTTTTGCCCACCAATCATTGATGATGAGTGTTAAAAATATCTAGATATAGCTACAGGATACATGTGTTTTCTTTTCAGTTGTAAATTCATACTATATTCTTTATATACATTTTACTTTTAATCTGTTCTTGATCATTTCACCTTACAATATCTATTTCGGATTGTACTCCACTTCTTACAGTTAATTTGCTTGCTATTTTTATTCAATTATACTTACCCATGTTGAAACTTAAAGCCTAGTTCCCCAAACCAACGTAAAGTCTTAACCATCAGATCCCTACAAGTAAAATAAACAAGTAAACAAGAAGTATAAAATTGTCACTCAAAGAGACGGTCTGGATTGTCTTCTGAGACATTCAAATGCCCTTACTATGTGAAGTTAACTTTACCAGACAAAAAGTGTTTGTGAACACATATGAAATCTATGCTCATGTAGGCCTCCCACTAAGCAGTGATGAACAATAGAAGAGCGAGCTGAGTTTTCATTCATCCGTCATTTGTGGGTTTCACACATGGTACAGCCTCTTACATATTATGAAACTCTCCTCCAATCTGCAGGAGAAATGCTAATATTGCATATGTCCCTTAACTTTAACTTACATGGCCTGACTAATTTCATAAAATAATCTAGAAACAGGTAAACCCCCTTTCCAAAGACAGTGCTAACAAGAATATGTTTATTTCATGCTTGGGTAGTAAACAATTAGACCAGACACACTACTGATTATAATTGGATCTATGGGACATTATCCCTGGAGTTTCAGAGTTCTTACTACTATACAAACATATTTGTAATTTGCTGCATTAGTTGGAAACTTTTCAAGAGCACTAAGCCCCTTAAATAGGCTTCCAGTGCCAATGGCTGGTCTTTTGGAGAACATCTGTACAGCGCGGATACCAGGACGACCATGGCCATATGAAAGACACACCTGCCATGCATTTACGAGACATATATCAGCATGATTTCTAGGTTTGAAAAGGAAACTGTGGCCTTTTTCTAATCATTCAATATTTTCAGTCAATTAATTTGTGTCTGCAGAAATCTAAACTTGTTTTTTACTCCCTAAATGTTGGAGTAGGAGTAGCAGTATAGCTCTAGGATTGGCAGAAGACACTGGAAACTTAGGAACAAGAATGTTTCTGCTAGAATAGAAGGCTACTACCAAACTAGAGGAAGAAAATAGTTTCAGTGGTTCAAAGGGAAATAGGTGACAGAATAGTAAATCAGTTACCAATGTAGTATTACGAAAAGAAAGAAAACAAAACTTATCTTTTATTTGCCTTTTTTTCATAATGTTTACTAAGTAAACCTGATTTCAGCCTGTGCCCCCTTAACAACAGCAAAAAGAAAATCTTGTAATATGAATAGTAATTTGAGGATTTATCTATTGATTTACTATTTAAATTATACTTATAACAGATTGTTCAAGCATGCATTAATAACACTATCACTAACCTAGAAAACAATTAAGTACATAAGTTAATATAAAGGAAAAATATGCCATAAAATGTGAAGGGGAGATCATTTGTTCAAAATGTATAATATGCAACACTAATTCATCTATGTATGTGTAGTGAACATGACACAATAAAATGTTTCAGACAAGTCAGACATATGAAATAGTTTTTATCTTCCTGGGATTTTCCCACTATCCCAAAGTTGAGGTCATGATATTTATGCTGTGTCTGCTGATGTACCTGTTCACCTTGATGGGCAACTTAATTCTGATCTCCACCACCATCCTGGATTCCCACCTGCACACCCCCATGTACTTCTTCCTTAGCAACCTCTCCTTTCTAGACATCTGGTACACCTCTTCTGCTTTCGCTCCAATGCTAGCAAACTTTGTTTCAGGAAAAAACACCATCTCCTTCTCAGGATGTGCTTCTCAGATGTACTTCTCTCTTGCCATGGGCTCCACTGAGTGCGTACTCCTCTCCATGATGGCCTATGACCGGTATGAGGCCATCTGCAATCCCCTGAGGTACCCTATCATCATGAACAGGAGGGTCTGCGTGCAGATTGCTGCTGGCTCCTGGGTCACAGGCTGCCTCACGGCCCTGGTGGAAACAGTGGCTGTGCTGCGGTTGTCTTTCTGTGGAAACAGTATCATCAACCACTTCACATGTGAAATTCTGGCCGTCTTGAAACTGGCTTGTGTAGATACTTCCATGGTGCAGGTAATCATGCTAGTGATCAGCGTGCTTCTTTTGCCCATGCCGTTGCTACTCATTTGTGCCTCCTATGTCCTTATCCTCTCCAGCATCCAGAGAGTCCGTTCAGAAGATGGTCAAAGCAAAGCCTTATCCACATGCTCAGCCCACCTGACTGTGGTTATTCTGTTCTATGGGACAGCTCTCTCCATGTACCTGAAACCCACAGAAGTGAATTCACAGGAAATTGACAAATTTATGGCTTTGGTATATGCTGGATTAACCCCCATGTTGAATCCTATTATCTATAGTTTACGGAACAAAGAGGTAAAAGTGGCTGTGAAAAGATTGCTGGTTAAAAAGTCTTTTAGTACTGTCTTAATTCCAACCCTCAATTAGTGTTGGAATACACACACTCATCTAGACATTCAATATTATCTGGAAAATACTTCACCAGTGAAGGCTGAGGAAGTACAGCTCCCCAGCCTGTAATGATTACATTGCAGAAGAAAGGACCTATCAATATGCACACTGTAGGAAAAATCATGAATATATTTAATATATGCATGCAAAATTATATACATTATAATTGCATCATGATGCAAATCAATGTACTTTTCTTTGTCTTTTATGACTTAACTTGAGATGGAGAATAATGAGACCGATATTTATTATTAATAGTAATGCTAAACATAACCCTAGAAAATATTAATTTTCAATAGGAACTCACTCCTATCATTCTTTGGTGTTTTCTGTATTAATGAGTCATTCACAAAGATCTTTGTTTCCAGGAAAATAGATAACATTAAAGTTAGACAATTGATCATTGCTTCCAACTTGGCTTGTTATATTCTGTGAAAATAATAATGTAGAATTTTGAACCCAGCAAATATTAAAGTAATTTATTCTCAATGATATGCAAATAATTTTGAATTCAAGAAATACACATTTTAAATTAATGCACTTGCTCCTTTTTTCCTAAAACCAAAAGCACTTCATCAATTAAGAACTCTTCATCGTTTCTAGAATGTTAAAATGTGAAAAAATATTGTGATTTTAGGTGGATAAGAAACACTTTGTTTATTTGAGATGCGTATGTGGGTGATGTATAAATAGCTGTACACACACAAAATTATCGTAAGAAATATTTTGTGCCATTGTAATCCTGAGTGTGAGGCGGAGGACACATGTGACAGCCTGGGGATATCAAAGTATCTGTGGGCACAAGGTCACATGCTCTCCTGCTGTGTGCTGCATCGACTTGTTGAATACATCAGCACTCTCATCCCAAATGTTATTATATACTTGACCGATGAGGAAGTACAGCTCCACAGCCTGTAGCGATTACATCCCAGAAAATAGGACCTATCAATATGCACAATGTAGGAAAAGTCATGAACATATTTAATATATGCACGCAAAATTATATACATTATACTTGCACCATAATGCAAATTGTACTTCTCTGTGCCTTTTATGACTTGATTTGAGGTGCAGAATAATGAGACCAATGTATATACATCACTTTCTCTTTTTTAGAGAAGCTTCGTGGAATTTATGTGGATGACGGCTTTATTCTATGGAAAACATACTTATTGCTACCATAGAAATAACCCCGGTCCTTTGGTGAGATAATTAAAATCTTGGCACAGTAGTTTTCAATGTGAGCAAGGAAGAAATCTAAAGAAATAATTCAGTCATAGATAAATGGATTAAAGAAAGAACCATGAAGAAGGAAAAATTTTAAAGTATGAACTCTGATACTAATCCAAACACCCTTAGTATAAATGAAAACTTTTCTCCCCTTTATGTGATTCCCAGCTCTATTAACTCAAAATCACTCCAGAATTAGCAACAGGAAATTTTTATATGGAATAAAAGCAACAGTTATTTTATTTGCTTGTTGATTTATATAGTCCACTATCAGATCATAGTGACCACAATGTGATATTGGTGTTTGAAAAGGAGAAGAGTATTATACCTATTATCTACCCAAACTCTACACCAACCTAGAAAAACATTAATTCCCCCCCAAAAAAACCATTAATTCCAAGTCATCACAAACATTAAGCATGTCATATTGTTATTTTCTTATATAGATGAAAATAAAACTTGTACAAAAATTAAGATGAAAGTTTTATCCCCTATGAGCTCTTTTGAGAGGTGGAGCATGTACTGGGAATCAGACTCAGGACCTTGTGCTTGCTGGGCAGGTGCTACAACACTGAGCTGTATCCCTTGGCCCAACGTGTGATCTTTTAAATGTTTTTTCTGTTGCCATTTTTAAAGGATGTGGATGAGCTGGTAAGTGCTGGTCCAGAAATACAAGGAGCTGTATTCCAATAATACAGACTAGCTCTCTAATGCTGGTTGGGTCCCCACAAGACTGTGGATGGTCCTCAGATTTCAGGCATATCTGCAAGAATCATTTTCCCCCAGTAGTATGAGCTGGGATGGAGTGAATTCTACCAAGCCCAAATTTGTTTTGGTTGCTTATTTCCAAGATGGCACTGTATATGTGATCTTGAATTTGCTTTGATTTCTTACTCATTATTCTACATTCTATAATGAGGAGCTCCTATTGCTACAACATTAACAGAAGAAACAGCTCATTAAAATACAGTGTACATAAAAAATACAGTGTACATAATTGTATCACATTTAATTCCTTCTTTTCTGAAGTAATATCCAGTTAATACTTTGCTTACAGCATTTACATTCAGTGTTGCCTGATATTTCACTCACACAGGTGATTGGCTTCAACAGGCCAGTAACTTTGTGGAAATTTTACCATTTGAGCTCCCACCAAGTAGGTTTATTTTCAAGGTTTCTGGAAGAAATTTACTGTGACCCACCTCTGTGTTTAGTCTCAGAAATATTCATGAAAGCTCAGAGAAAATGCTTACCAATCCCGTGATAAAAAGAATTTACCCATGTCACTAAATTCACAAATATCTGCTTAATTTATTCTAATCATTCATTTTTTCTCTTTTCAAGCTAAGTAGATTTTAACTGATTTTGTATATGAACCTTCTTGTCATTTCAGTAATTTCCAATGCATTCAAAGAACACATTAGTACCTATACTACATGGTTTTAAACTGGCTTGAAAATTTCCCAAACTAGTCAGAAAATAAAGATCCCTTAAAATGTTTGTCAAATATATCATCCTCAGGGTCAACCTAGAAATCAAACTTTCTAGGGGATGGACTTGATAGGCTACATGTATTATAAGGACCAGTGAATTTTTATCATGTGGAAATGATAAGCCCTGACACGAAGCATTAAATGGAAAAGCCTGCGTTTAACCTAAGCCCCACTGCCACCCACCCAGTTAGATTTTGTAGCATGTTTCATGAAACTTCATCCTTGTGATTTTTAATATCTGTCATTGCACCATCTCTCCATTGCCTTGAGTCTTGCTGCAGTCTCACCTTGCAATTTGTTTCCTCTCAGTGATCACTGCAATGTTCAAAGAGCCACAAAAAAGGGTGATGAGAAAGAATTGATTCCTGTTGTGAGGTTTTTAGGACAAAGCTGATGATCTAAGTACTTCCCAACCAGCATAGAAGCTCATCAATCCAGATGCTTCTCTGTAGCACCATAGAAACAAGTCATCCTCGCAGGTAGTTATATAACTTCATACACCATACAGTGTGAGATAAATTATATAGGAAACAAAAGCAAGACTTTGGATGTCAAAGAAATGAAGGCTAACAAGAGCTTCCATCAAAGAATGATTTATTGGCAAGGTGTTAGCAACATAAAAAAGAATAACCTAAGTGCACATTGAATGAGGCACTGGCTGTAGTGATAATACTAAAAGTAATAATAATAAATAAAACATGCAGGGTATGTACTGAGTTATTACTGTATTTCAGTCATTCTTCTAAATTCTTTACATGGAGTAATTGAATGCACACAGCACTGCGAGTTGGAATTGATAATATTTAATTCAATTTCATCAGTCATTTTGTCACCTTGACTTTCCAAATGAACAATGTAAGTAAAGAGAGATTTAATGGCTTATGTTGTTTACAAATCAGGTACACGGTGGAGCTGAGATCAATCCAATTTGATGCAAACCTTTTCCCTCAACCATTACTATATTTTACTTCATACAATGACCGGAACGTCCTTGAAATCACATTTCCCTTTCATCTTTACCAATAGGCAGCTCTAGCAGAAAAAAGAGGAGCTCACATTCTTAAAGAGATCATGGTTGGTACAAACCTCTATATCCTTGAATTTGACTTCTTGTAAGCATACAGCATATCAGACAGATTTAGAGTAACTCAGTAATACACAAATCAAAACAAGTACCTCCACGTTCATCCAAGCCTTTGATGACAGTCAGTCACTATAATTTCTTCTATATTCTCTCACTAATAGAGATGGGAGAGTGCTGAGGTAGGAATCCAGGTGGACATATTATTCACTTGCCTTATCTCAGCGTCTTCACTAATCCTGTCACCATCTGTCTTGCAACTGAAGTGGAAGATATCTCCTTCTTGAACCTGCAGTTTTGAAGAAGCTAACTATCAAAAATGCATGGCAAGTTACCTTAAGGAAAATATACTAGAAATCTAAGCAAAACAGACAAAATTAATAACATCAAAAACTTATACTTAAAATGGCATTGATCTAAGACATTTTGATTCGTCTTTTTCATAGAACTACTACATACATGAAGTGATGTGAGTGATTATGAATGCATTCATGTTTTACATATTTCTATCTATAGACTCAGTCTCAAGTGAACAGCATCTTTTCTAATCCCCTATTTTCCAGTTTGTTCAACTGTGCAGAAAATATATAAGTAGTTTAAATATAATTTGTCAATCAAACAGAAGTACTATGAAATAATTAACACACTTGAATACATGGAAAAATTAATAGTGAATAAATTGATCTTTAGTCAGTTTTTCTTTTTTTGGTACTTACTATTCTATTTTGCCAACAGTCAACCTTTTACTCTATTCTAATATTGCTTAATTCTATAGAAAAAACAAGTTTTATTACATTCCTTTTTTAAAATGAGGGGAATACTGTACAAGTAAACATGATCAAACCTCTGTCAGAACTGGTTAATATTGATCTTTTATTATTGCCTTAAAGTAGTGTCCAAGAAATTATGTTAAGGTCCATCTGAAGGAAAATTGCACTGGAGAGGCAAGAGATGGCTTGGATAAAAGGTTCAGAAGATTTTTAGGGAGATGAAACTTGCTGCTTAAAAAATTATGTTGAGCTCTGTAGTACCTTCATTTCTTAACATACCTTCCAAATCCTACTTAGGATAGCTATTATCCATGTTTTAAAGGCTCATATGCAGTTTGGGGGCTTTTTTTTTTAATTTTTTTTTATTACATTTGGACCTTTAAGAAACATAGACCATCAGAT